GGGCGCGGTGGAGGGGGAGGACGACGGGAGGAGGGCCGCGGCGGCCGAGGGACGGGGAGAGGCACGTGGCTTCGATCCCTCTTCTCCCGCCGGCGCCCATCGGGGAGAAGGGCGGCGGACTGCTAGGCGAGCGTGCGCAAGAGAGAGATGGCCGCCGCCGCCCCAGGCGCCTCGCGCGCCGTCGGCCATGCGTTGTCCATCGCCGCGAGGGAGGAGGCGAGCTCGTCGGGGCGGCCGGCGGGAGAGGAGGCAGCGCAAGCCGGCCGACGGGAGGGAGGGAGAGGAGCGGTGGTGCGCGGGCGTCGGCGGCCGGCGGGAGAGGAGCGGCAGCGCACTGGGACTAGCGCGGGGGGGGGGGGGGAGCGGCGCGCGGCGGCCTGCAGGTGGGAGGGAGAGGAGCGGCCGCCGTCGCCTGGAAAGAGAGAGATGAAGAGATGGGAGATGGGGAGAGAGGAGGAAGAAGAGGTGAGGTGAGTTGGACTGACATGTGGGGCCCATGTGGGTCCCATCTTTTTTATTATTATTTTATGTGACTGACATGTGGGTCCCACAGATTTTATTATTTTTCTAGATCGGATTGCCACGTAAGCACCACGTCAGTACCACATCAAATGAAGACCGAGTCAAAATGGACACGTAGGCGCTACGTCAGCCAAAACCACCCTTAAAATCGTCAAGGTACCTCGTTTGTCCGGTTTTCGTAAGTTGGGGACGGGTCGTACCGGTTTTGCAGTTCAGGGACGAAAATCAGACTGGGCGACAAATAGAGGGACCTAAAATGAACTTATTCCTTCAACGTTTGTGTGCTGACAGAGTGACGAGCCTCGATTTTCTAAAAAAGAAAAGGTTACAGGCCTCGAACAAGATGCTGTTACCAAAGTTAGCCACGAATTTGGACTAGAAAATAGCTAAACATGACGGCTTGATCGAAGATTACGCAAAGTTTTAGTTCGACTTTCGAACTTATAATAGTTCAAAATAATCATCTGCTGTCATCATCTACTCAATAAAAACCGAAATCCTCTGTCACCATCAAAACATAGCAAAAATCAAATGCCATTAAAAAGTGCCAAATGACAGTTGACAGCCCAAAATAAAAAAGAAGAAAAAAAAAGGAACACTATTATATTCCAGATTTCCAGCTGCAATATCAAGCTACCAAATGGATCCCCAAAAAAATTGCAATCCATTCCATGAACTGAGCCCACCATGCACCACACAACCCCCGCTCCTCCACGCTTCTCGGGCTCCCGTAGACCGGGTCCACCCGCCAATCCCCCCACACGTCGATATCTCCAGCACCCACCGCACCCACTCTCCTCCTCACTCCGCTCCCCTCCTCTCCTCCTCCCTTCTCGCGGAGGCCGCCGCAACCAAAAAAAAAAAAGTCTAACCCTAGATCCAGGCCCCGCGTCTCCGGCGATCTCCCGGCCATGGCGACTCGCCGGGCCCTCTCCTCCCTCGTCCGCGCCGCCTCCAGGCTCCGCGGGGCCTCGCCCGCCCCGCGCCCGCGCGGGCCGCTCCACCGACCGTCGCCATCGGGGTACCTCTTCAACCGCGCCGCCGCGTACGCCACGGCCGCCGCGGCGAAGGAGGCGGCGCCTCCCGCGCCCGCGACGGGGAAGGCCACGGGTGGAGGTAAGATCACCGACGAGTTCACCGGCGCCGGCGCCGTCGGGCAGGTGTGCCAGGTCATCGGCGCCGTCGTCGACGTGCGGTTTGACGAGGGGCTGCCTCCCATCCTCACGGCGCTCGAGGTGCTCGACCACAACATCCGCCTCGTGCTCGAGGTGGCGCAGCACCTTGGCGAGAACATGGTGCGCACCATCGCTATGGACGGGACTGAGGGGCTTGTCCGCGGTCAGCGCGTCCTCAACACCGGCTCCCCAATCACTGTAATGCCCCCCCGCCCGTCTTCTCATCCTTGTTTGCGATCGTACATTTCATTTCGTGTTGTCTCCGACCAGATCTGACGAAATGTGGATCTACTGCTGTCAGATTTGATCTAGGTGTACAGTTCTGAGTGGCGAGCGATCGCCCTTCCATTTCGTTCATTTTATCGGTAGACTGTTGGCTGCTTTGTGGTGGTCTGTTCGTGCTAGTGAAGAAATTGACTTTTTTTCCCCTATAAAGTGCTGCCTTTTGGTTTGTGGTGGTCATCTAGAGTCTATTAGAATTCATTATGTTCACCAGTGTTGCATTTCCGTATTGGCGTATTGTGAGGTTAACATGCATTGGTTGGTATAACTTTTCCACTGTTTGCTTGAATGAAAATTGTCGTCATAGTCTAGGAATCCATTCCAGTTTTTGTTTATTTAATACCCTTGCCAATTGTTTAGCATAAAATGGGCATTACTGAATTCAGAGAACTGCTGATGCATTCGTGTAAATTCTGATTATAATTAGAGTTGCTGAACCTTGTATCTGTAGCATTGTCTTGGAAGTTGAAACTAATCATATATAATGTGTTCTACTATGTTTTTGACTTGGAAGTTATTCTTCTTTGTAGGTTCCTGTTGGCAGGGCCACGCTTGGACGTATCATGAATGTTATTGGTGAGCCAATTGATGAGAAGGGTGACATAAGTAAGTTACTATATGTTCCATGTCTTCATTATTCATAGTTATTTAAGAATTTGTGTGTCCAGTTCTTATTTATGTTTTGTTATTGATGCTGACTTCTATTGTAGCAACGAACCACTTCCTTCCCATCCATCGTGAGGCGCCTGCTTTTGTTGAGCAAGCCACAGAACAGCAAATTCTTGTTACTGGAATTAAGGTATAATTGTCCCACCCTTCTCTGATCCTGTGGTTATCTGAAGTATTTGAATGGTAAATAGTTGCAACCATGATTTAGAGTCCTAATTGCTGTACATTGGTTTAATTTTATAGGTTGTGGATCTGCTTGCGCCCTACCAAAGAGGTGGAAAGATCGGTCTTTTTGGTGGTGCAGGAGTCGGCAAAACTGTCCTTATTATGGAGTTGATCAACAATGTTGCTAAGGCCCATGGTATGCATCTATACATAGTCTCATGTGTGATATTGTTCAAATTTCAGTCACTTGTTCTATTTGACTGATGATGATTTGTTTGCCAGGTGGTTTCTCTGTGTTTGCTGGTGTTGGTGAACGTACCCGTGAAGGTAATGATCTTTACAGGGAAATGATTGAAAGTGGTGTCATCAAGCTAGGTGACAAACAGGTAATTTTAGTTGATATCTTATTTTCTGTGGGACGCACACATGTGCAAGCTACTTATATATCAATTTTGGTTGCAGAGTGAAAGCAAGTGTGCTCTTGTCTACGGGCAAATGAATGAGCCCCCGGGTGCTCGTGCTCGTGTTGGGTTGACCGGTTTGACTGTTGCGGAACATTTCCGTGATGCCGAAGGACAAGATGTGCTTTTGTTCATTGACAACATTTTCCGTTTCACTCAGGTAATTTATGCAAGACATCTCTTCTTTTGGTATTTCTACTCTGCATAAAAAAGAATTACTAGTAGTATACGTAGCGTAGGTGTTTCTACTAAGTCCCATTGTTATGGTTTTGATTAATCTTGAATCTTGATGTCAGGCGAACTCTGAGGTGTCTGCTCTTCTTGGACGTATTCCATCTGCTGTGGGATATCAACCAACTCTTGCTACTGATCTTGGAGGACTTCAAGAGCGAATTACAACTACAAAGAAGGGTTCCATTACATCTGTCCAAGCTATTTATGTGCCTGCTGATGACTTGACGGATCCTGCTCCTGCTACTACTTTTGCACATCTTGATGCTACTACTGTGTTGTCACGACAGGTTTGTCCAACTGACCTAATACATCGTGTTAATAATGTCCTCATTATGACTTGAATTTGCTATCTGTGCAGATCTCTGAGCTTGGTATTTACCCTGCTGTCGATCCTCTGGACTCCACATCCAGAATGCTCTCCCCCCATGTTTTGGGTGAGGATCACTACAACACTGCTCGTGGTGTCCAAAAGGTTCTTCAGAACTACAAGAATCTTCAGGATATTATTGCAATTTTGGGTATGGACGAGCTCAGTGAAGATGACAAGTTGACCGTCGCTCGCGCAAGGAAGATCCAGCGTTTCTTGAGCCAGCCCTTCCATGTGGCTGAAGTTTTCACGGGTGCTCCTGGGAAGTACGTGGAGCTGAAGGAGAGCGTCAACAGTTTCCAGGTCAGAATTGAATATGCATAGTAGTTTTTGGAGTTCAGTACCACTACGGTTACAGTATTTTGCAATTTTTGGGGTTATAATTGATGAATCAGTATGTGCCTGCAAGAATACACTAGTTTTACCAGACAGTACAATCCATCTACACTTTTTTAATCCTTTGTTCAGTAACACATTTTGCTAGATCTGTAGTTGTAGACACGCGATATTACAGAACTTCATTATGCTTATTAGTAATGTATATTCATGTTTGCTTGTGTGCTCTTTGCTAAAGTTTCTGTTGATGTGCAGGGTGTTTTGGATGGGAAATATGATGACCTTCCCGAGCAGTCATTCTATATGGTGGGAGGCATTGAGGAAGTCATTGCTAAAGCTGAGAAGATCGCCAAGGAGTCGGCTTCATAAGATCTCTTCATTGTTAAGTTCTGTACAAGTTAAATTTTTGGATTCTGGTTTCTATATGCCCGTTCTGTAGCCAGGACGTGATTACAAGCAGGGGTGACATCTTCTGATGAGCGATGTTTTTTTGTCTTCCTTTTCTCCTTTTACCCCTAATAAGGAACCGCAGTGACATTGTATTGTGCTGCACAAAAGTACTCGGAACTTCGAAAGCATGTGTCCTTTATAATGCAGATCCATGAAGCATAGGATCATTGAGTTCTTGTTTTTAGTTGGTAATTCTTTCTTTATTATTTCCATATCCATGCTTTGGTTGTGGCTATTCGCTTCTCCGGCGGAAGAATTTGCAATCAGAATGATTGTGCTTAATTGTAAAATTGATTTTAGGATTTTTCATTATAGTCAACTTCTCAACCTTAGCTTTTAAACCGTAATACAGATACAAAATTTTTACCTATAAATTATTTTTAATTGTTTCATTAACTCTTTTTACTGCCCCACTATGTACTTCTACTAGTTTGGTTCTCACTACTCACCACTCAGCATAATCTGCAACAGCTTTATGAGTTGTTTAGCCTAGGCCCATATCAGTAAAACTTTCCATCTCCAGCCCAATTCAAAATAAAAGGCCCAAGAGTGACTAGCCCGGCCCAGTATATCTATCAGCCTGTGCCGCCCAAATCCGGTGATCCAAAATCGTTTCCCCCTCTCCCTCCCATTTTCAAGTTGTTTCGAACAATTCTCTTCAATCCCTCATCATTTCCCCCAAAATCGCGCGGCCGTCTCCGGCCAAATCCACGCCGCCGCCGCCGCCGCCGCCGCCGCCGCCGAGGACGACGCAGCGGTGCCCTCGTTTCGGCCTCCCGTATCGCCCTCCGTCGAGCCGAGCCACCGAGACTGGTGAGTGAACTCGAGGCCGTAGGCGTTACTGCTGGTTGATCGTGCCAACCCTAATTCTGACGCCGATCAATCTCTCCCCGTTTGATTCCCCTGCAGGCTGCGTGGTATCGTCCTCACGAGGAGCGGCAATCCGAAGGAGCGCCTCCTCCCGATGAAGACCATATGCGGATCCCTCATGCACGAGCTCCAGGTGCGCCTCGCTGTCGACTGATCTGCTGTTGCCGCGATGGCGGTGACAGGTTTTGTTGGTCTCTCGCTGATTCAGATCGCTCGTGGTTGCAGGTCATCTGGGACGAGGTCGGGGAGCCCGAGGCCGCGAGGGACAGGATGCTGCTGGAGCTCGAGCAGGAGTGCCTGGAGGTGTACAGGAGGAAGGTGGACCAGGCGAACCGCTCCCGCGCCCAGCTGCGGCAGGCGATCGCTCAATATGAAGCTGAACTCGCCGCCATCTGCTCCGCCATTGGCGAGACGACGGTCCACGTCAGGCAGGTCTGTCACTTTTGCTTCTGTTTTCTGTCGTTTAAGAGCTTATGTTTTGATGGTTGATACGATTTACTGTGTTATGGTACTATAATGGTTTGGGGCGCATCAGAATTTAGCCGTTTCTCCGATTCAAAAACACTACCCACAATTGTATTGTGATATTATCGAATTATTATTAGGCTATGAATTCATATGTTCTTCGTATACTACCTTTCGCCTGTATTCAAGCATGGTAACTTCATCATTTTCCGTTAGCATATTTTCCGAACTGGTAAGCAGTGTGTGTTTTGCAAAAACTTTTTGCATACAAATTTATTCTAAAAAACAAATAAACCCAATTTTTGAGTTTATAATAATTAATTCTTAATTAATCATGCACTAATGACTTATATTGTTGTGCATGCCACGGAGTTGCCACACCCAATAGCCGGAAGGAGCACAACCCTCTAGATTATATCCCATCTAGTACTGGTTGCTATATCTTGAGACGGAGGTAGTATATGATTACAGTCACAGATGGGCTCATTTAATGTGTATTATTTAGTTATCCAACTTGAAAGGTAGAAGTATGCTGTAGCGAAATAGGATCTACCAGTAAGGCAGTAATTAGTTCTTTGTTTTTGATTGTTTTATCAGTCTAATCAGAAAGCATGTGGATTACGGGATGAGCTCGGTGCAATATTACCATACCTAGAAGAGATGAAGAGGAAGAAGGTTGAAAGATGGAACCAGTTTCTTGATGTCGTAGGAAGGATAAAGAAGATCTCATCTGAGATAAGGCCAGCAAATTTTGACCCTTTTAAAGTGTCTGTGGATCAATCTGATCTATCATTAAGAAAGCTTGAAGAGTTAAGGGTGGAGCTGAAGTCCCTTGAAAAGGAGAAGGTTCTTCTTGAAGCTTTTAGCTCTATGTATTATTTGAATTCCTTTTCAATTTCTATTTTCTAATGTATTCTGATTCAGTTATTAAATTTCTGAATTCTGATAGGGTGAGAGGGTAAAGCAAGTTATGGAATATTTGAAGACTTTACATTCTTTATGTGTAGTACTTGGTGTCGACTTCAAGAAAACAATATCTGAAATACACCCTAGTCTTGATGAAGCTGAAGGGCCAAGGAATATAAGCAACACTACAATTGAGATGCTAGCATGGGCGATTCAGAGACTTCGTGAAACAAAAATGCAGAGGATGCAGAAGGTCTGCATCTTACTATTTCAATTCAGGGAATGGCCAAATGGTATATATCTGCTTTCAACTAACTGTATTAGCTCTGCCAGCTTCAAGATCTTGCATCTACCTTGCTAGAACTATGGAATCTAATGGATACGCCATTTGAAGAGCAGCAGGCATACCAGAATATAACATGTAATATTGCTGCTTCAGAGGCTGAATTAACAGAACAGAACACCCTTTCCATTGAGTTCCTCAACTATGTGAGTTAATGATCTTTTGGAGAACTTGCTTTCGTGAGTCTTGTGGTTGTCATTTTCTGTTTTCTACTGAGATAATGATACTAGAGTCAGAGGACATGATATTCTTTGATCCAGGTGGAAGCTGAGGTATTAAGGCTTGAACAGCACAAAGCAAGCAAAATGAAGGAGCTTGTTCTCAAGAAGAAAACAGAACTAGAAGAACATCGACGACGGGCACATTTAGTTGGAGAGGAAGGTTATGCAACTCAGTTCACAATTGAGGCCATTGAAGCAGGTAATATGTTATGGAATGATTCCCTGGGTGTGTTCGCTTTTCCTAGATCCCAACCGGATCCCTCTGCACGGAAAATGGAGTGGTTCATTAGCGCGTGATTAATTAAGTATTAGCTATTTTTTTTAAAAAAATGGATTAATTTGATTTTTTAAGCAACTTTCATATAGAACCTTTTTTTTTGCAAAAAACGTACCGTTTAGCAGTTTGAAAAACTTGCGCGCGGAAAACGAGAGAGAGAGGAGTTGGGAAAAGGGGCATCCGAACACACCCTTAGATTTCTGTGCAAGTTCTTGAAGGTAGTTTCAGTTAATTGATCCTCCTACCTCCTTTGCTCATGCATTCCGTTGAGAGGATGTGTCATGTGTGTTAAGCTGTTAATGCTGTTTATTTAGTAAAATGTTTTATTGCCCAAAATATGTCTTCACTCTTTCCATTTCAGGGGCTATTGATCCCTCTTTGTTGCTCGAGCAAATTGAGGCTTATATTTCAACAGTGAAAGAGGAAGCTTTTAGCAGGAAGGACATTCTCGAGCGAGTTGAGAAGTGGCTAAATGCACGTGAGGAAGAGGCTTGGTTGGAAGATTACAACAAAGTACTGTCCTATCAGAACAATTTATATGAAAAGATTTTTTTTCCGCACCTGCTGCTGATTGCGGTGTCCGCATGACATGATCAGGATGACAACCGGTATAATGCTGGGAGAGGTGCACACATTATGCTTAAGAGGGCTGAAAAAGCGCGTGTTCTGGTTAGCAAGATTCCAGGTGACAATCAATTATTAAACACAATGTTATGCTTTCATTCTTAATTTCTTATCATTTCTGCTCCTGATTTGCTGCTATTGTGTTGTGGACAGGAATGGTAGATGTTCTTGAAACAAAAACCAGAGCTTGGGAAACTGAAAGAGGCAATGAGTTCACATATGATGGCGTATATTTCTCTATTCATGCCGTTTATTTTATGTATTATTTACAAAGCCAGTTTTGAGAATTGCCAAAACTCGTGTCGTACAATGTTTGCAGGTCCGACTTATATTGATGCTTGAAGAATACATGGTTGTTCGTCAAGAGAAAGAGCAGGAAAGGAAGAGGCAAAGGGTACTAGCTGTATCCTAATTTGTGTGCTTTTGTTACCATCTTCTTACGTGGTAACGTGGGTGAGATCTGAAATCTGAGTAATTGTAGGATCAAAAGAAGCTTCAAGATCAACGCAAAGCTGAGCAGGAGGCACTTTATGGATCAAAGCCAAGCTCTTCAAAATCTCACAGCACTAAGAAGGTACCCAGAAACTCCACACCTGGAGTTCAACCTCCTAAATCAGAGATACTTCATTCAAAGACTATTCGTGCAACCAAGAAAACGGAAGATATCAACACTCCTTCCCCTGGTAACTTCGACTTAAATATATCTGAAGCAATATTTCTAAATTTTTACTTAGTATGTAGTACGATCTGACTATCTCTGATCTCAAAAATAAACTCAGGTCATAAAGGTTTAGACACTGTTGGTCTCCCTATCAGGAAGTTATTTCCATCTTCCAACTCGAGCACTCTTCTTGAGATGGAGACACCCCGGAAGCCCTTCTCTCAGATTACACCTGGAAACATATCCTCAGCTCCTGTGCGTCCAATCTCCACTGGTGGTACTGAAGAGAACAGGACTCCCAAGACATTTGCACCAGTTCCTACGACTCCGATGACAGTGAGCCCTCATATGCAAATGGCAGTGACGCCTGTTCTTACCGCAAAAGCTGTTTCTGTACTCTCTTATGACGAACCGGAGCTGACTTCACAAGAGGACACCGAGTACTCATTTGAAGAGAAGCGTCTTGCAGTCTATCTTGCCGCACAAGTGGCTTGACTGTCAAGGATGCTGATACATCCGTTGTGTAGCTGAAAGTCTGAACCTTTGATAGCATTTCTCATGTTACAGAGACTTGTGTAGGTCGACAGCAGTCGGCCTTATTCATAACCATACTTTACGTTTTCATCCCATTGTTAAAGTAGTTACCTTGTTACTGCTGGCACTTGTCACCTGATGATGTGAACCATTACCTTTCTTCGCTATGTTGATGGTTATCATTAGGTGGCTGAGACAATGAATTGAACTGGCAGGTGCAGCCGTGCAGGTGATGTGGTTTGTTATTTGGAAAAGAGGTTTTTACCGTTGTGGTAAGAAAGCTAAGATGCGGCCGGTGAACTAGAGTTTCACAAAGCAACCAGGTAACTTCCCTTGGAGTTCAGTCAATAATCATTTCAAGTAAATGAAAGGCAGGCCAGTTCCTGGTGATGCACTGATGCTGATATTTGCATCGCGTTCAGATGACACACTTCATGTCTGAAAGCAATAGGAAAGCTAGACAGATAATTTATGGCTATAATACAAGCAGCTGTCAATTTGTTCATATCGTAATTCACCTGGATTTTCCTGCAAAAGAGGTCAGGGATCCGGGACATTGGTTTGCAAGTCAGAATACTATAAACCTGAAATTCCGTATAGGCCAAAAGTTGAGCTAAAATTTGTCTTCGAGTTAAAGGCTTAAATGAGTACTCTTTGCTAACCTCTTTCATTTTCTGCGCATATATTTCTTAAATTGTTAAATACTGTATTTTTTAAAAAAATTCTAAAAAAACATATCAATCTATTTTTTTTAAAAAAATTAACTAACATTAGAAAAATCATATTAATTATTTTTTTAGAAATATATTAACTAACATTGAATTAATCATGTGTTAATCCCCTGCTTCGTTTTATGTGCCGGGAAGAGTTCCCTGCGCACCTTTGGATGGAAATAAACGCAAGCTTAGCTGTTAAAACTTCCCTGAAATTTCACTCTAAAAAATACTTCCCTGAAATTCCTTTGTTCATCCTCAAATAAACAATACATTGTTCAATGTTATAGAGATTCTCAGAAAGAAGTATTTGAACAATGCTAGTTTCTTTAGCAGTTCTGCTATGGGAGGCTCTCAATTTTGGAAAGGGCTGCATCATTGCAAGACTTGGGTTGAAAGACTTGTGGAGAAACATGTTCATAAGGGAAATCATGTATTTTTCTGGAAAGATGTGTGGTGTGGTGATATTCCTCTCAAAATTAGGTTCCCTGACCTTTTTGAGATCAGCTACCAGTAAGGGGCTCTTGTGAGTGAAGTGTTCAATGGGAGAGACTGGGATCTAGAATTTAGAAGAAATCTGAACTCTCAAAGAGAAACTGAACTTGCCCAATTGAAGCAACTCATTCAGGGGTTTTGTTTGGATGAAGGAGATGACCAAATTGTCTGGCCTCATAATAAGAAAAAAAGTTTTTTCTACTAAATCTATGTATAGGATCTTGACTTTTGGGGGTATAAGGGATGCAGACTTATGGGAGATTTGGAAATGCAAGCTCCCTCTCAAGATCAAGCATTTCCTTTTTCTGGTTGGGAAAGGGAGGTTACCTTGTGCTGAACAACTAGTTAAGAGGTACTGGAAGGGGGGTGATAAATTCTGTAAATTGTGTGGTAATGTTGAAACTACCAGCCATGTTCTCTTCTGTTGCCCTTTGGCAGTTTTTGCTTGGTGTGTTATCAAAGAGGCCCTGAATATTCAGTTTCATCCTGCCAATTTCTGGGATTGGGTTAGGATTTGGGATAAAAAGAAAGAACATAGACTCTGGATTTTCCTGTTAGGGTGTATCTGTTGGGCTCTCTGGATAATTAGGAATGATTGGGTGTTTGAAAATAATTTGGTTTCCTCTCCTCTGCAAACTGTTTACAAAGCTTTGTCTTTTGCACAGAAATGGGGCATTCTGCTAGGAAAGGAGGAACAAGCAGTGCTGGGTGATTGGTGTGAGGCGATCCTGAAGAAGCTTAATCATCTTAGAATCAGAGATTTACCTGCATCCCTGTAGTTCCAATTTTAGCCAGTGGGTGCGGTTTTGATGTTGATGGCTGTCTGATGTTTTTGCTGTGCCGAATGTCTGTAAGCTAGAATTTCCAACCAGTTTAGTTTCCTTTAAGATGTAAAAGACTCTGTTTGGTGTTTTGGGCTTTCTCCAAAAGCTGGGTCAATATATTTGATCTGATTTCAAAAAAAAAAAAATAAACAATACATTTTGTTCGTGACTAACATGGAGCATATACTAATAAACAAGCAGATACCACACAATAATTCCTTATTTCCAAGTGCAGAAACATCATTTAAAGGCACATCGTTGACTAACCTCAAGTCAACTATCCCTGAACAGATCACACTTCTGTTCCAAATGACGGTGCAGCATCTATATATTTTTTTTACCAAACAGCTTTCACAAAGCTAACATGCGTAGAAAAGTCACTGGTCGTTTGCCATCTGGTTGCAGTGATCTAACACCACACAAAACCACATTAGGGTTCGTCGCTCGAGAACGTGATTTGTGATTCCACAGTCCACACGGCCACACAGCGTGTGCTAGCTCAGCCTGAATTATTCATTATTCCTTTCACGCCATCGCCGTCACTTCACTCCTGCAGGTTCTGGGCAGCTTCGCCGGCGATGTTCTTGAGCCAAAGGATCAATGTCAGCTAAGGGTGTGCTTAGTTCACGTTAAAATTGAAAGTTTGGTTGAAATTGAAACGATGTGATGGAAAAATTAAAAGTTTATGTGTATAGAAAAGTTTTGATGCGATAGAAAAGTTGAAAGTTTGAAGAAAAAATTTGGAACTAAACTCGGCCTAATACTACGAAAAGTTCGTCCTGTTTCCCAGGTCAACCTGCACTTATCCTTTTCTCAAACTGATGATCAAATCAAACTAAGTACTGTTTATTTCGCAAGAAGACCCGCTCTGTCAGTTCATTGGTTCAGGCTTCTTCTGGATCTCCCAGGCGCCATAAACTAGTTTTACGCTTAATTAGTGAAGACTTTGCTTGGTAGAACTGGTCATATTGGATCGACTGATCTCATTTTTATACCCAGTCGATTAATTATTTATCCAGGTTGATAGTTTGGTAGGTTTCAGCGAACTTACACGGGGTTTTACCTCATCTTGGTAGGTAGATGATGATCCCGTGTCAGTGATGCACTAATTAATTGGATATGCGCTAATTGAGCAAGGCAACTTTGGGAGGACAGGTGGCCATGGTTGAAAAGCAAAAAAAAAACATCTTGTGTTCACTGTCTCTCTCTAGCTATTAGTAGATCAGTAAAGTAACAAAGGAAAGGGCATCTAGCTTTAACCGGAAATGGTTAAGAACACTGAACACGGAGTAGACACCTCAAAGCACCAACCAAGCTGTTGTTGATAGAGCAGTACACTGGGCGCCACCACTGCACACACATATATCCATCACCTAACACTCTCTCCATCTTAGCGACTAACAGATTGTAAACTAGTGGCAGCAGCAGTAGGTAAATGGGCTAATGGCAGCAGCGAGCACTGGAAGTCTGGACACACGTTTAAATTGTGGAGTAAAAGGCCAGCGTTGAGATGTCGACTGACCAGCCGAACTCTTGATGATAGAGCAGTCCACAGAAAATGACCTCCAACTCCAATAAAAACAAGAGATAGAAGGTAGAGTACTCCTACTCTCCCAGCCCAACAGAAGACTAATCAAAGATGAAATGTCGACGACCGGACTCGTGCCGGCCAAACAAAATTGGAACGTTCTGAACTAAAAACATTACTAAAAACAAAAGTGGAACTGATCAGCTAGCTTGTGTCCCTATGGAGCGCAACCCAGGACATCATGCTAAACCAAAATGAGTCGGATCACATCGTCTGGAAGCTCTCGAATCATGGAGAATACTCGGCCTCTTCGGCATACAAGGCTCAGTGTCTAGGAACAGTCGGCACCAACTTCAATCCCCTAATTTGGAAATCTTGGGCCCCTGCAAAATGCAAATTTTATGCGTGGCTTGTGATTCAAAATAGAGTCTGGACTTCCGATCGACTAGCTGCAAGAGGATGGCCAAATAGTGGAGTGTGCCCCTATGCCGTATGACGAACGAGACGGCATGCCACCTTTTAGCTTCCTGTAGATACACCAGAAGGATCTGGAGACTGACGGCCAACTGGGTGGCTTATCAGCAATTGGATCCGAGCAATTGGGAGCCATGCCAAAGCGTACACGAATGGTGGGAAATGCTAGCCAACAAAAGGGAAGTGTCCAAGAAAGGGCTGCGATCCTTAATCCTACTCATAGACTGGGAAATTTGGAAAGAAAGGAACCAAAGGATCTTCGAGCACAAGGAAACGGCGGCCCCCAATCTTATGGCAAAAATAAAGGAAGAGGCAAGAACCTGGATGATGGCAGGCGCAAGACGACTTGGAGAATTCCTACCAACTTAATCATAGCGCTTATGTAATTTTGTACAGCTCTTTTTTTTGTCCTTAGGGGTTGTATATTTTTACGCCTATATCTAATGAAATAGCACGGTCTCGTGCTGATTCCTTTCAAAAAAAAACATTACTAAGAGTATATATTGACACAATGTTTAACAAATGATACCGGTTAGTGCTTCGGTACTCTCTCCGTTTCAAAAATTAACTAACCTAATGCATATATTTTTTAATTTAGTTCAGATTCATAGTAATAAAATATATCACATTCTATACTAATTTGTTATTTTTAAAGGACTGGGAGTGAAAACGGTCGGAATTCGGAAATGATAAGAATCGTTAGCATCTCTTCAAAAATGATGCTCAATTGCATGGTAATTGATCATATTTATCAGCTAAACTACTCACTGCCGACATTAATACGATACAGAAAGAAATTAGAAAAATAAAATTTATATATAGAAAAAAAAGATACGGTCAAAAACGGTACCCCTTATAAAAAAGGAGCTCGGTCGATCAGGAATTTCCATGATCGTTTTCATCCCTCAGTGGTTATCGCCTAGATTTGCATACGCACCACACCACTCGGTGTACGTAGTTTATACATGTGCAATTTACTTGCACGAATAGGTGCAGGGGGTGTAAGTGGGTTAGCCACGAACTCACTTATAGATCAAAGTAAATGGGTTTACAGCTTATTTTAGTCTATAAGTGGATTTTGTGGGTTAGCCCCTTACATTACGTGCAGCCCCCCAGCCGCCCCTCGCGAGCTGCGTGGAGAAGGATAAAGCCACCTCTCGGAATGGTAATGGAACGGAACCACTTTCTCCGACTCCAACCCAAGCCACGGCAAACCCAAAAGCCACCACCGCGTTCGCGGCTCAGCCAGCTCTCGCCGCCACGCGCAATTCACCGCACCCGCCCGCGCTATCATCCCACGCCACACACACGCGCTCACGGACGAACACACCCGCGCCACACGATCCATCGCCAACCCAACAAACCACTCTCCCGGTGGTCTCCTCTCCTCTCGCTTCCCATCACCGTCACCTTCCCCCACACGCGTTCCCAAGCCCGCGCGCCTCCTATATAATCCGCGGCTTCACCCGAATCCAGCCAACTAAAACTACCACTTCTTCTTCTCGCAGCTCAACGACGACGTCTTCGTTTTCTTGGCTTGCTTGCTTGTGAGCTCGTGGCCTTGCCGTTGCTGGTTTCTTGACATGGGCAACTACTTGTCGTGCACGATGGCGAAGGTGCCAGGAGGGAAGGGGGCGAGGGTGATACTGCCGGACGACGGCGGGTTGAGGCAGGTGGCGCTGCCGGCGACGGCGGCGGAGCTGATGATGGACGCGCCGGGCCACTTCCTGGCGGACGCGCGCGCGGCGCGGGTGGGCGCCCGCCTCGCCGCGCTGTCGGCCGACGAGGAGCTGGAGCTCGGCGCGGTGTACGCCACGTTCCCGATGAAGCGCCTCGGCACGCCGCTGGCGCCCGCGGACATGGCGCGCCTCGCCGCCGTGGCCACCAGGGAGGCCCGGCGCTCGGCCAAGGTGGCCGCCGCGGTCGTGGCGCCGCCGCCGACGCCGCTGCAGGCGGAGGACGCGGCGCCGAGGCTGCGGCTGGATGAGATGGTCGACGACGAGGCGGTCGCCGCCGACATGAACGTGTACAAGCACCGGCTGAGCAGCGAGCGCTCACGGAGGCCGACATTGGAGACCATCCAAGAGGAGAACTACATGTCGACAAACTAAAATTATACAGCTTAGCCAGCAGCTCACCTTTTTTTAATTTTCTCTTTTATGTGCGATATTGTTTCTATTATCTTTTCTGAGATCTGAATTGGAAAAGATATGTAATGAAACAGAGAAAGATGTACAGTCAATTTTTGTAAAGAAATCAAGAACACGTAGATCAGGATTGTCTTTTTTTAAAAAAATGATTGGGTGCAAGCACAAGCGAGTTATCCATTTTACTGCTTATTTCCATGCATCCCAAATTGGAACACTATATAAAAGCTTTTGAGAAAAATGAATGGACTGTGAATATAATTGAGCATCACAATAAAAGATTTATTTTTTATTTTTATCTTTTGCTCTTCAATCTTGATTTGATTTTTTAGTGGTACGATAGATAGAGTTTGTACCATTTCTGTCTATTTTAAATATTTTTAATGATGATTTACTAAAATCTGATCCCAACATTTGAAAAGAGTGCAATATTGCACTTTAAAGTGTGGCAATAGTTCTCATGTGCAAGAAAAAGAAAAAAAACACACAATAATGTTTCTTACAGAAGTACTGTTCGTCTATCTCTGTTATGTAAATTTATAAACCAAACATCAGTTTTGATTAGAGTTCTTTTTTAAGAAAATATATATTCATGATTATTGAAACGAAACTAAGTTTTATATAAAAAAAACTATATTGTACTAAATTAATTAGAGTCTTAGACCACTTTATTTTAGTTATTATTAAGTTTATTTCAAAAATAAATAATTCACGGTAGTAGTTCGCTCAATAATATATAATCGAATAGGGCCGAGAAGATGGCATATTGTACTGTCGGGAAAGAGAAAATGAAACCTACCGATCGTTGCTCGTTGCTTACAAGTTTAGTACGAACTACGAAAAGGACATTCGAAAAACGGTGTGAATACTTCAAATAACAGCCTAGTAGGAAACTGTGTTGTTTTTTCAGCTTAGGAAGAAAAGCATCGATGTGTCGATTTCGCAGACTTTCTTTCCAACGTAAAAACAACTTCTTTGTCCTATATATATTTTTTATTTTTTATTGTAATTATTGAACTGCTGCCGCGTTTTCGTTTACCCTATACCTAGACCAGGTGATTATAAAATTCAGACAATTCGATCAGCAGTACGGAGTAACATAAAAGCCATTTGCTGTCTAATTTGATATATGAATGAGCATTTCTTTGTAGAAAAAAAATGTAGTGCGCCTGAAAACAGGGCAAGGAGGTGAAGATTGATCGATGAAAGCAAAGGAGGGGTGATCAAACAGGTACCTGAAGCAACGCAGACAGATGGTTTTCTCTCGGCGGACAGAATGTCTCGTGTACAAGGCGAAGAAAAGCATTCTTGTCCGCACGAAATAGGCAAAAAAAACCCCGGCATTAATCAGCACGAAATCGGCAAGCAAACCGCGCGATGGTCAACCCCCACCCTCGTGCTGATCCGGGGTCGTCGTAGCAGCTACGCTACGTGCATACCTTGGCTCTTCTACGTTTTACCGCTGAGGCGCAAAAACGTGTCGCGAAATTTTCACGCTGCGCCGAACCGTGTTTCGACTCGGAGTCGGCGGCTAGTCAGCCGCGCTCGTGCACGGCCAGGCCACGGGGCGAGTTGGATTTCGTCTAGGTACGTGCGTGGCCCGTGTGCCGGTCTGCGTGGCTATGCGCCTATGCGGTACGCATCGCTGCACGGGCCGCGTGCAGCAGGTTTCGAGTCAGAAGCCTGCACGCGCGTCGCGGACGAGCAGTACGCACGCCGACGACGCGCGGGGATTATCCCGTGCGTGCGTAGCGTAGGGTGCGCACGATTTCGCGGCCTCCATCCGCAGCAGATGAACGGGCCGGGGGCACTCGCGCTGGCAGATTTGCGGGGAGCGCGTCGCGCGCGGTTTTGTGAATTTTTTTTATTTATACTTTTTTTTATTAAAATATTTACAAAAATAATTTGTTGTTTTGAAAATTTACAAATCTAATCGCCTGCCGCCCTTTCCACAGGGCGGCAAGGGACCTAAATGTAAATTTTCCAGCATAACTTGTTAGCTCTATGATTTTACAATTTAAAATTATATTATATAAAGTCAGATGAAATAAAACTTTATATCAAAAGTGTAGAGCTCAAGGAGATCTACAATTTTGTAGTTAATAACTTTTTCATTTAAGATGTCCAAATATTCGTTACAAAATATAAAACACATTTTAAAAAATCTCAGATCTACATTTCAAACGACATTGGATGGAGATAAACTTTATATAAAAGTTGTAGATCTTGATGAGATCTATAACTTTGTAGTTTATCACTTTTCCATTTAAAATCATTTGGAGTATCGAATAAGCATTATTAGTTTTTAAGCAATTAAAACCGGTGGGAAGGGTTTGAACACAAATAAAAATTTTGTATTTAGGTCCCTTGCCGCCCTTGGAGAGGGCGATTTTTAAAAATCACCCTTCTAGAGGGCGGCAGGCAATTAGATTTGTAAATTTTCGAAACAAAAAATTATTTTTGTAAATATTTTTATAAAAAAATGTATAAATAAAAAAAATTCGCGGTTTTGTTAGGCTCTCGGCCCGTGATTTTTGCGCGGGCCGTACGTGCGGTTGTCGTGTCTGCTTTGCAACGAAACTCGTTAGGAATAAATTCATCGGTGGTTCCTTAACTTTGTCGACGAATCTGATTTCCGTCCTTTAACCGAAAAATTAAACCAAATACAACAGATCCCCCAACTATCAAAACCGGAGCAGATGAGATTCCTCGGCGGTTTAGATGGCGGTTTTGGCTGACGTAAATCCTACGTGGCTAATTTGAATCGGTCTTCATCTAACATGGCATTGACATGACGCTTACGTGGCAATTCGATATGGAAAAATAATAAAACCCATGGGACCCACATGTAAGTTTTACACACAAAATAATAAAAAATAGTGGAAGCCATATGGGCCCCACATATCATCCTCTTTCTCCCCTTTATCTCTATCCTCTCTCTCAATCTCTCTGATGGGAGAGGAGCAGGGTGCGTACGTGCTCAGTCTATTCTTGCCACCGACCTGCTTTGTCGGCCGCCCGTCCCACTCAACCGGCCGGAGATAGAGAGGACAGAGATAAGAGGAGAGTAGTGAGGATGATATGTGGGGCTCACGTGGGTCACACTATTTTTTATTATTTTGTGTGTGAAACTAACATGTGGGTCTCATGGGTTTTATTATTTTTCCAGATTGAATTGCCACGTAAGTACCACGTCAATGCTACGTCAGATGAAGACCGAGTTAAATTAGCCATGTAGGCGCCACGTCAGTGAAAACCTCCGAGGGATCTCATCTGCACCGGTCTTAATAGCTGAGGGACCTGTTGTATCTAGTTTTTCGGTTGAAGAATGAAAATTGGATTTATTGACAAGTTAAAGAAACTCGTATGAACTTATTCTAACACGTTACAGCCGGTGCAGCGGCCACCTCGGTGTGACGGCCCAGGGCGTTTCGGGCTTTCGGCCCCGTTAGCTATCTGGAAGACTGGAACTGGAACATGTTACGTCAACTGCACAGTTGATAGCGGCTGCTCGAGGCTCGCGGACCCGTCAGTTTAATTAATCATCCGTCTGATTTGGGAATGGAGAAGATACTCTGACGGGATGAGATGACAACCGATCGATTTTTAAGGGATTGGATGCTCCGACTACCGTCCACGCCATAGAATCTCGCCCACCACATAATGTTACCCAACTTATTGATAGATGCTTCTTCTGAAATGGATTATTAATTTGGAAGTTTTTATTTTCTGTACGTAGATAATGGGATTGTCCTAAATAGGAGTATTTCTTTAAGCTCAACAGGATAATCCGATTCTTGTGCTAGGCATTATGAGAGTTTGTAGCTCTGTTAAATTCAGAAAGAGAACTGGTTAGATAGTATAGCTATTGTGTTGGACATCTTTATGGGGAAATAAAAGTCTCTTCCAAACTCTGTTTGCTTGGATATTGTAAAAAAAAATCCATTCCAGCAAAAAATTGTGTGTAAACAACGAATATGAGCAGAACTGCTCAGATTCACAGCCTGAAATTTATTCCTTTTCAACGAAGAAAGTATGTAGAATATATGGTGGTGCGGAAAGACACTTGGCATAACAATCTTCTCTACTATGTTATAGCCAATCGCGTTAGGATGCTAGTGGACGATAACATTACATAACTAATGGTTGTTTTATACTATCTTTGTTTTAAAATGTAGCTACCTACTATACGATTGGATACAACCTATACTACGAATCTGAACAGGGCGCATATCTGGTTTCATAATATTAGAAGGCATCCAATCAATTATACTATATAACTACATTTTGAAATAGAGGTAGTTCTATGCTATACTTCAAATGCTAGCACCTCAAGAGATTAGAAAGTTGCTTCGTCAGTTTGTCTCCCTTGGGCCATTTGGTATGCTCCACAGTCTACGCGAGTAGGGGTGTAAGTGGCTAACCAGCAAAACCCACTTATAGGCTAAAATAAGCCACAAACCCGCTTATTTTGATCTATAAGGGCACCCACAATGGTTATCTATATGCTCTCTACAAGAGATCCATGTCAGCATATTTTTCTACTTAGAAGCTATTCAATGAAGAGAGAGAGCAAAGCTATCTACTAACTTATAGATAGTCTATAGAGAAAAACGAGGCAATGCATAAGAGAGATATAGATACCAATGTAGACATACTATTAAAGTGATTTACTATTAATCGAGTCTATTGCTGAGATGTACATGTTTTATATAGAGTGCACCTTACTTTACCATTAATTGCGGGTGCTCTAAGTGGGTTTGCGGCTAAGCACACTTCCACCCCTACACACGAGGCTTTGCATGACGACACTAGCTTGCAACTGATCGCGTGAGATAAGATCACTGCAAAGATGACAAGACGGCTCTGCTTTGGCTGGCGGGAAACTACAAGTCAGAGGACATCCGACCAATGCTTTGGAACTTTTGAAGCAGATCAGATGCGCGCAGATGGCGAACGGGCTCCATCTGTCCGTGACGAGTCCCGTGTCGCTGTCCCCGTGCGTTGTCGCCGTGCCTCCGCCCTCGCGGTTCCTTGGTCCAAAACATACAGGACTCGGCAGTGCGGCCAATGTTGCACTCTCCTGTGCCATCCTCTCCCAGAGTCCCAGCTCGATCTGTAATCTAGACTCTAGAGTGTGCACTCACCTTGCCGTTTGGCCATTATCGGTACAACTTGCTGATTATAAACCATAATATTATTATTGATACATAAAAAAATTTATAGGTGAAACTTTTATGTATATATTCTTAAGGATTAAGCATATGTTTGGTTTTTAATGAATGAGGTGGGTCGGGTTGTGTCAAATCCATATTTAGGATGTTGAGTTGGAGCAGTCCCAGAAAAATAATAGTATTCTTCAAAGATCTGCGCCAGCTTCACACTTAAAAAAATGGTGGAACAATCCACTTTCTCTTTCTCACTGACACGTGAGCCACACCCTCCCATCTAACCCTCCCATCTATAAAAAACAAGTAGGACTACTCAATCCCTAGTATCAAACGGATAATGGGATCATCCTATTCTAAAAGAAAATCAGGATCAGTACGTACAGGACGCTTAGA